GCGGGACTGGATCTCGTTCAAGATTGGCAATTGGCATATGTTGATGGGCTACAAAATGCAGGGCAAGAAGTGAAGCTTTTGTTCTTGAAAAAGGCGACGATCGGGTTCTATTTCTTGCCCAATAACGAGCATTTCTACACCTTAATGGATGAGATCAAAAGCTTTGTGAGCTCTTAATTAACCCTTTTGTTCATAGATCATGAAATCAAGAAGAAACCCCCCCAAAAAAAGACTTAACTTTTCAACTACAGAAGATACATAACAAAAGCTTTTGACATTTTTATTACTACTACTATTATTAGTCTTTCTTTGCTTCTTTTTCATCTTCATCTTCATCTTTTTTCCCCGTTCTCACCCCTATGATGATGGTGTGTGGTTAAGTTATATATATATATATATATATGAATTTTGTGTATTTTTGTTGTTGTAATATGTTGGTGGTGGATGTGAATAATCTTGTGATGAGAATATGAGATGGGAGAATGGTCTCTCCGGCAAGGGTAAAACAGTAATTTCCCGCGGGAGTATTCGGTTGGACGAGGGATCATGGGAAAGAATGAATCCCTTGCGGTCTCTTCGGCAGGGGTGAATCGGTAATTTCCACTCGGATCATAACGGTTGAAAGAGGGATCATGGCCAAGAATGAGTCCCCTGTGGTCTGTTCGGCAGGGGTAAATCAGTAATTTTTCACTCGGAATGAAAGGGGGACTCTGGGCAAGAACGAATACGTTACGACCTATCCGGCAGGGATAAATCAGTAATTTTTCACTTGGAATTAAAGGGGGATTATGGGCAAGAATGAATCTTCTTGTGAATTTGATCAAATCAAATAGAGATGGATCTTTGTTATTGAAGCTAACTTGAGAAGATGATGGATGTTTGAGGTGAAGGAAGCATCCATGGATGATGTTGTTTCTTGTTAAAACCTTGTAACATTACCACTACTACTACTATTGTTGTTGTTATTATATATCTATATATAGATACATACATATAGATATATAGTACATGTATATAAAGGTTTGTTTGGTTTTGAGTTCAATCTCTAGTATTCTTGATTTTTGTATGTATTTTCTTTTATGGTCATCTTGTCAATCGTGTTTAGCCGGTTAAGTTTGTACTTGTAACAACGATGATGATAACACTTTCACATGCTCAAATTTAGTATGTATCTGCCTCGGTTTTTCCTAGGTATAGTTGCATAAAACAACCAAAGTTCATTACTTTATTCATCATTATTTTGGTTTGCAAAAGACCCAATTTTGAAACTTTATATATAAAAATTTCAAGAAATCATAATTGTACGGATTAAACTTGTCGCTTTTTTGTAACAAGTTTGAACTTGGTGTCTTTAGCTTGAAAAATCATGATCACGCAGAGGAACTTCAAGTTACATTAGACGAAAACTGTTGTTGTCGACTTACTGATCTACTACTAGAAACCCCATGAAACCCATGACGTCAATATGCATGAAACCCATGTTTTTTTTATGTCAATATGCACGAAATCCGTGTTTTCTTGACGTAAAGATGTAAGAAACTGTATTTTCTTGACGTAAAGTAATACTAATGGTTATTATTTGAAGGAAGGTAGGGGTGGTGTGGACCATTAGAAAATGGAATAAAAGAGATGAGAATTTGGGAAAAAGAAATGATTGGGCAAATGGGGACAAGTCCAAATCATGGATTTCTTTTTCTCTACATCTTTGATTTGGTTCAAGTCTTCATGGGGTTTGTTTTGGAGTTTGGGATAATTGCAACTAAGAATGGAAGCAAGATTTGGCTTTGTGTCAATTCCAATGGAAATCAATAACTCTCCCCACTTGTGGTTGGGAGCTTTGGATGCAACCTAGGCTAGGGGCCACTTTTGGAAACCACATTTCCCATTTCACTTTTCAAAACCCCCTTTTCTAATAACTCAAAAATAATTTGATTATTATTTTAAGTAACATACTTTCATTTTAATACCTAAGTTTTAAACATTTAAGTATACGAGTAACCGGTTAAAGACTAAGTTTAAATTAAAAAAAATCCATGTGATTAACTTTAAATAATACTGAATCATATCACTCGTATCATCAGTTGGTTACTCGATTACTTAAATGTTTAAAACTTTATATCTTAGGTACCAAAATGAAAGTTTTGAAAGTATGTTACCCAGAATAAGAATCAAGTTAAAGTATGTTACTTTTTCATACAATTTGCCCTTTTAAAACAAATGTAAGATATCAGTCTTAACAATTCAGTTAAAGGAAGATATACATTGTATATGTGAATCCGAATCATAAATGTTAAGCATGGTCGGTATGATGACAACTTTCTTACTTTAATTTTGATTGTAATTTATGTAAACTGTTGTGATGCTAAAATATGTTTATAACGAAACGACAAGATCTGTATTTTGTTATGAAAACAGATGTTAACAATAAGTTATCAAGAAGATCGATAAATATTTTGTTGGGCTTATTTGTCATTTTCGAAAAATATAATTTGAGACATTTTTGTCGGTTTTGTAAACATGCATATCATAATATTGTGTTTTTAGACATATGTTGATGTCGGTATCGTAAATTGACTCGATTCTAATATCATTATCATCAACAAAACTAACTATTTTTTTATAACTTTATACAGGTTTTTCTTATTAAATTTCGAAATCTGTAGATATACAATACAACAAAATTGGATTTATAGGACGCCAAATTTTATTGAACGTTATAGTAGGACCTTTTTATAAAATTTAATTTATAGGTTCAAAAAAACAAAGTGTGACATGACGTTTCATTTTTTTTTATCATATGAAACAAACTGTAATAACGTTATGAACAGTTAAGATGCTGTAAACTCAATTTTGTTGTAATAACATAAAATAATTAGTTTCTTTAATATTTTAATTAATATTTTTGTTTTTTTTAATTTATTATATATAAAATACTATTTATGTTTTGTTTAGGTTGTTAAGCATTTTTTATGTCGTTTCATGGAATTGTCACTTTATAAGTTAGCTGTATTTTCTTGTTTTTATGGGTTGATTATGATGCCAAGTGAAGACAAAGTCCCCATCTAATTATTTATTTATTTTTAAATAAATTTTCCAGTGTTAGTCCAATAAAAACCTTATTAATCATTAGCATATTGATTTTAATGTTTCGTTTTATTTTTATTTTTTTTGTTTTATTCGATGTTATAATACGGTTTTTATGTGATTTGAGAAAGCGATAATGTTTTTTTAATAAAATATAAATATGAAAATCAAATATATGTAAATTTTTTCAATTGGTGACACCATTTGACTAAGAAAATGACGCTACCAACTAAAACTTGTTCTCATTGTCGTTTCAAATTACTTACGATGGCACACAATAAATTAATACTGTTGCACCTTTTACGAACATAAATTTTTTTACCCTTCGATGAATAAATAATACGCATGACACATGTCACCATAACCATCAAAGTAGGTCCGTCCCTGATAGTTATGCGTGAAAGAAAAACTATTGGACTTGCTTATTCATCAATTAGTAATGAGTTATATCATTTAATTAGAATCAAGCAAAAAAGATAGAACTTTGTCAAAATCTAACAAATAATAATAGTTTAAATTTGTATGACAATCATGGAATATATATATACACACACTTGGGATCATGTGAGACAAAGTTGTTTCGTTAGACATGATTTTTACACTTAAAACTTCACAGCAAAACACTGTGAAGGTAACATTCACAACGTTTTTTATTGTGAAAGTTCAGATCTTTTTTGCCTTCATAACATTTTGCTATGAAGTGTAAAAATGTGGTCTCACATGTCTCATAAAAGTAGCTTGGTCTCACTAGAACCCAACATCATATATATGGTTGGGTTCACGTGAGACCAATGGTTTTTCGTGAGACCAGTAAGACCATTTTATATTCATTGATCAACTTTTTAAGTTAATGATCTAATATTCTAAATTGCACGGTGGCAATTTTGTGATTATTGAGAAGTCTC